TGTGCATTCATTCAGTGGCACCTTTGTCCCATGAAAGCAGCAGTCTCTGACTGGTTTCTTTTTGCTTGCCTCGCCTTAACCTCATTCACACTTCACAAAACCACCAGATAGCTCTGTTGGACAAATCTTGCCTTTCAAGAGGCATAGCAAGGGCAAGAAAGCCACTTAAGGTTTATTAATTAATGTGTCTGCCTGTGTTTGGGACTTGATTCAGTGACCCAGCCAAGTCCCTTCTGGATCCATAGTCCTGAGTTCAAAGAAGAGCATGGTTGTTAGAACAAGGTAAAGCATGAAGGGAGGTTAAAATGCATTGGCATGTTTTGTGGGCTTTTCTCCACCTTGCTTGCCAGTTGCATTCTGTTACTCACTTGTCCCCCACCTTTTTTATCTCATTTGCTAAACTATCTCTTGCCTGCATCTCTTCATCCTCTCCTGTTTGGTGTTCATTAGACCAGTAATTACTTCTAATTCAGTGCTTATGAACTGAGGCTGGTATTCATAAACCTTGGTGCCAGGAGTTGGACAGTTGTTCTTAGATGTCCAAGCAAAAGTCAAAGCTGTTGACATTAGTAGGAGTCATGAACTCCTGATGTGTGACAGTCCTGTGCTGCAGTTTGCACACTGCAGAGAGCGGTGAGGAGGAGATATCTGTTAGGCTTTTGGCCAGTTGGTTATTCACATGGCCCATTTCAGGGAGGAGAGTAGCTGGAAAGGCTGTTTTCCCCTAGCAGCTGCAGCCATGCTGATGAGAACACAGGCCAGTTTGCACCAGCTGGCAGCAGCAAGGCTCAGCCCCCTGGTCAGTCACCTCACTCCCCAGTGCCTCGGCCACCCACGGCTGTGAGCTGGAAGGAAGTGACAAATGAAGAGAGAGAGAAAAAAGGATGTATATGTGGACTGACATAAAAAGTAAGGGAATAATCCCAAGAACATTGTTTTATTTACTTGCCATCTTTAGTTAGATTTTCTGCAAATATATAGCAGTGCTTAAAATACCTGCCTTTGAATTTACCCACTGATACATTTCCATTCCTCACCTTTTATCCTCTCCATAGTTACGTGTGGCAGCACCTCATTATGTGCTCAAGCATTGGTGCCTGATGGGGCACACTATACCCAGTGAGTGCAGTGTGCCTGATCAGGCCCACTATACCCAGTGAGTACAGTAAATTGTCCCTGGGTGAAAAAGTAAAATGCTGCTCACAGCTTTGTGTCTGTGCTAGAAGTGTATGGAGTAGGATTTACCGAGCAGAAACAAGGAGAAGGTAATTGAGAGCTTTGATCCTGGCACATTCCTGTAGTAATCTAAAATCAATACCAGATGTCATAGGAGTCTCATTAATATCTTAAGAGCCAGCAGTCTGCAGTAATAATGAAACAACATGTCTTACAAAGAAGGAACGTATGTAAGATTGTTCATACACATTTATACCATCTCTTTTTATGTAGGTGTATTCACGCTTAAGTGATCAGAGTTCATGTATAAGAACTGTATTACAGACTCAGTTATGCAACAACTTCCATCATTTCAAGTTAGTTTTAGTTTCAGAGCTACCTACTTAAAACCTTTGCTATAGTGCAAGTCAGATTAAGCCTCAGTTAACATACATAGCTTTTTTGTTACACTTTTTAGTTCTGTGGACAAATAGCTAGCTCTCACAGGTAGCACATTTAAATACTGGGCAGATAAAAGCATAATTTTTGTAATGAAATTCACTTTAATGGGGGAAATACAAGCTTTTCTCAGAAGGTAGTAAGGCAGTGGAACAGGTTGCCCAGAGAAGTTGTGGATGCCCCATCCCTGGAAGTATTCAAGGCCAGGTTGGATGAGGCTCTGAGCAACTGGGTCTAGTGGATGGCATCCCTACCCATGGTAGAGGGGCTGGAACCAGATCATCTTTAAGGTCCCTAAAAACCCATGCCTGTCTGTGATTCTATGAAAAGAATATAATCTTTTCTAGATTTAGAATTAATGAAATACATAGTAATAAAGTCATTCTTTTAAGAAGAAGCATTAGGGAGCAAGGCAGGAGTGGCACTTCTTTCGCAATAGTTTTCTGGGGCTAAATCAGCTCACTAGGTTGTTCAGTTGCTTTTAAATAAAGTACTAGATTGTCCCTAGTGCTCAGGTTGAGGTTACACATTGAATATCATCATGTGTAAGTTGTGATTTTAAGAAGCACAGTCAGAATGGTGCTCATTCTGCCTAAAACAATTGAATGTTTCAAACAATTTCTAAGTCGTGTTTGTCTGATATAGGTTTGCTGACAACAGCCTTTGCTTTGATAAGCAAAAGGTGTTTGCCATCCATGAAGAAATAATAAGCAGCCCAAACATAGCCAGCATTACTGAGGCACCTAACCTGTGCCTGTAGAAAGGTAATAGAAGAAGTACTGTGCCACTGTAAATGCACTTTAAATTTGGTTCCAGCAGGAGTTGTTCCATCAGCTTACTGAATGTATTTAACAGTATTTTCCTTATGAAATTCTGTAACATAAAAACCACAGCTGAAAGTTAGTCTATAATCAGTATTCTTTTACTCACAGGTGGTTTGCAGCTAACACATAAATTAAAATTTAAGACTAGCTTTCCCTGGATTCATCACTCATTTGTGGAGTGCTTTCTTTTCAAGAGCCTAGCTATTCATCAGTCCTACTGTTATGGATGCACAGCTCCTGAAGTATCTGCAGCCCTCCCATTTTTCATTGTAACTCAGTTCCTTTTGTAGAGTCAGTAAGCACTGTAACATAAGAAAGATAGCATAATGACAGATTTAACTATGACTTTTGGAGCTGCTGCCTAGCTGTGGGCCCACTGAACTGTTCATGGTCTCTAAAGGGAGCCTGTGATACCTAGGTCTGTGGTTAGCCAGAGTTGAGTAGGAATGAATCCCTTCTCAAAAGTCGTGTTGCTAGACCCGGAAGAAAGTGTCCTGTCTCCTCTGCAATACAGGAGAGCACAAGCTAACAAACTGCAACAGTTAGCTCTTTAAATCAATAACCATGAATTCCCCTATTTCACCAGAGCAGACAAAATAAACACAGTTTCACTCAAATCTCTGCCTGTGTTTCCCCTTCCTATGCCTCCCTTGCAGATTCAGACGTCTCTCCAGTTTTACTCTCTTCCCCAGCTGCTTTGGGTGTCTCTCAGCACCTGCTAATCCTATGTGGTATTTATTGAGTAAGGAGAAATATCTCTTTCTCCACATCTAGGGCACAAACAAGCCCCAGTTCCTCTCAGCACTCCCAAGCCGCAGTTGTGCCCCGTATTTCCCCTCTATACCCATCTCTTGGTTCCCTCCCCCTATCCTGCTGAATTCTGCTTTCTTCCCCTTTGAAGGACAGCAACCATCATAAGAGGGAAGGCAGGTCACCTGCCTTTCTGTTCTCCTGTCCTTCCCTGTATGTGTTTGGCAGAAAAGCTAACTCTGGTGGCCATCTGCCTGGTGCACACCCAGCTGTTCTCACTCCTCCTCCACAGAGCAGGGTGGAAGATAAAGTGCAAGAGCTCAAGGCTCAAGATAAAGGCAGGGAGATCACTTACCAGTTACCTTTACGGGCAAATAGGACTCGGCACAGGGAAAAGTAATTTATTGCTAATTAAAAGTAGATTTGGATGGTGAGAACCACAGTCCCCAACCCCCTTTTCCAGGACTCCCCTCCTTGATTCCCAGCTCTTCCCCCTCCCCCATGCCAGGGGGATGGGGACTGGGTTTAGTCTATAATTGTTCCTCTCTGCTGCTCTTTCTCCTCACACTGTTCCCTTGCTCCATTGTTGGTTCCCTGTAGACAGTAGTTCCCGTCAGGGCAGTCTCCTCCAGAGACTGCCCCATTAAGGAGAACCTTCTCCCCTCCATCTCCTTGCACATTGGTATCTCCAGAGCTGTTTCACATGATCCCAGAACTGTTAGTATTGGAAGTGACTTCTGGAGATCAACCAGTCCAACACCCCTGACAAGCCAGGGTCACCAGGAGCAGGTGACACAGGAACTCATCCAGGTGGGTTTTGGATGTCTACAGGGAGGGAGGCTCTGCAATCTCCCTGTGCAGCCTGTTCTTGTGATCTGCCACCCTCAGTGTAAAGTGTTTCTCACACTTTTTTCCCTTGCTCCTTTCCTGGCCAGTTGTTTTACCTTTTCTTAAACCTGTTTTCCCTGAGACACCCCCACTGTCTGCAGGGCTCAGCTGTGCCCAGCACTGTGTCCACCATGGGGCAGCCCTGGCTGCTCCTCATACAAGTTCCTGCAGCTGTTGCTGCCAGCACCTGGGCACTTACTCCTTTGCCATGCAGTATGGATACTGTCAGCTGTGGACAGGTAAAACAATCCTGCAATTCCTGATCTTCAGATATTTGTAAGACCTGAAACTGGGTGACTTATTAAAAAATGCGTTAGCCCCACTGATACTGGTCACCTGAATGTTGGTTGCCTGTGTGGGGTTACACATAGTGTGGAGTGAAGGATCCTTCAGAGGCTGACAGTGGTGTTGAATTATGTCAGAAATCAGGAGGATTGGAGTTTTAGATGCCTAAATTTTAATTGAGTGGAGTGACATGGATTCCATCCTGATACTTCACAGTGAACGTTCAGAATCAGAGATTGCTCCTGAAATTTTGCTGTCAATTGTACTTTTGAGTGTTCCGTGTTGTTCAAAGCAGATGTAACCCTTTCCCTTCTTCCCTTCCCCTTCACTTTCTGAAGTCAGGCAGCATAAGTTACTTGAGGGTAAACGGAGATTTTGTTGGATGTGGTTTGAGCAGTGATTTTAAGGTACTGCTGAGTGCATTGGTGTAGCCTCTGTGAATTCACAGACCTGCATGCCCCTGGAAGTGCTCACATCCAGCTGTGGCACCCCTGGGTGGCTTTGCCCACCTATCAGCTGATTTGGGAAGCTCAGTGCTCTCCAGGCAGAGCAGGCAGACGTGTTGTGTGCTCTGATGTTGTTCTGGGACAAGATTAATTTCAGCACACTCATATTAATCCATTATATGTCTCTTTCCAGCACAAATGGACCCCCGAGGCCTATCTCCCAGACAAATTAAAAGTGACAGTGATGATGACGACCTGCCAAATGTGACCTTAGATAGCGTTAATGAAACTGGATCTACAGCGCTCTCCATAGCCAGAGCAGTACAAGAGTAAGTATCGCGTTCCCAGACAAGATGAGTGTTGCTGAGGCGTTCCCAGGCCCAGGGAGGCACCTCTGCTACAGGGCTGTCCTCCTGCCTGCAGGCAGCATACCTGCCAGCACCTTTCCCTGGAGATTTATTCCCTTTCTTGGAAGAGATGACTGTATCTCTTGTCTCTCTCATGATCTTTTCCTTTCTTTCTCTCTGCCCTCATTGAGTTTCGAATTGAAGTTGTTTCTTTCCCTTGATGTACTTGGAAAGCTTGCAGTGGGTTTTATATCCTCTCCAAAGAGAGACCAGGTTAGATTACTCAAAACCATGCATTTTTTCCTTGACTGAAATCAGCATCAAGAAGTTGATTCTAGTTGCTGTCAGATAGGAACTAGCAGCATTTCTCCTGAAGGACGGTGTCATTGGAAGGAAATTACTGAGGGGCTTCGAACAATTTTCCACTGCGGTTATTTTTCTGTGTACTTTTTCTAACTGGGTGGACAAATATTTTCTTAATTTAGTACCTGTACTGCTTGTTTGAAAAGAAGGAAGCAGTTTATCATGAACATTTGCAATTCTGTAGATGCATGAGGTTGGCCAGTCACTGTAGCAGCTGGAAGGGAACCAACTGTGAGGTAAATAAGTATTAATATCCCAATTTTATAGGTGAGGAAAATGAGGTTATGCGTAAAGGTCACCCTGTTGGTCTGAAGCAGAGCTGGAAATAGAACTAGAGCCTCCAGGCACTGAAGCCTGTGCTAGACCCACAAAAGATGTTACTTTATCTGAGAGGTTCAAAATATGGGCATTCTGGACATTATGAAATAAAAATGGGTGTAATTAAGGCCATTAGACATTGCTATTGTTTAAGTTATTATAGATGCATTTTAAATGTCTTAATATGGTATCTAAAAATGTTTTGCTTTGTTTTCCTGGACATCAGCAGCTAAAAGAGCTAAGCCATGTTTGGGGAGGTACTGCCTTTGGGGTTTTTTTGCCAGACGTGTACTACCTCTTCTGTCAGCCAAGCACCATAACTGTGAATCTCAGACTGATATTCTCCTTAAGCAGAGAGAGGTGTTTGTGAGCAAGGCAAGACAAGGTGTTGGTTCTGTGATTAGCAGGCTCCCTTTCTAACAGTGATAAAGGAGGGGGGAGAGTTTCTTTGCCAGTGAGGATATTGCTTGATAGACAGGTCCCATATGTATTTTCAATTTTCTAGTCACAACAGCAGGCCCCGAAGTGCTAAGTATTTTTTTCTCAATTTATAGCACACATAGTAAGCCAGAAAAATAAAACAATGTGTCGTGATTTTGCAGTAAATGATTTTGCTCTGTCTAATTACTGAACAAAGGAAGTATGGAGCACTAGCAGATAATTTTAATGTATGACTGGCAGGCAGATACTGTTCTCCATGATGGATATTGCTTGAACACTTAGAGAATTGGTCAAACCATGGGAAGCTTTTTTAGCTTTTGTACAATGCATTCCACAGTTTGTGAAGGTAAATATGTTGAGTATCACTTGACTGACTCTGGAGCTTAAGAATCAAATTAAGAAATTTAATAATATAACATCAACTCATTCTTGTTACAGGTTTTATTTAAACAGTAATTTGTTAGTTTATTTCAAAAGCCCCATTAGGAAAATCTAATTTGACTGTGATCTGCAATTTGTCATCTTTACTTCATTCTCAGTCACAGACTCCACACATACAGTTGCTGAGTTGAAAAGGAGTGTTGGCACTTCAGGCTAACTGCACTCAATCTATTTCTTACTTGGTCTGCAATATTGTGCTCTACAGGGCAGGCTCTATTTTGATTTTAGGCATTTAATATGTACCTTAATATTAGATGTTTAGCAAAGGAGTCCGCTGAAAAAGAAACTCTCATTCTACATAGCCTTGTTGCAGAGAGGAAAGTGCCTCTGAAGCCTTCCAGAGGGAGATCCTGTGTGCTCAATTTCAGCATCTAAACTTAGCAGACAGGAATTTCCTCTGAGGACATGGAAAGGCACCTAATGTTCTGCTGAATAACCGGGCAGCCTAGGGACATGCACAGAAAGACTCTTCAGCAGTCAGTGAAGTGTAGGTCAAAGCTTAGTGCCTGAGGGAGGCAGGCTGGCCCTCGAGTCTGGATGACTGTCCCACAGAGTGTGTTGTTCTAAGTGAGCTTGTGAGCTCTTTCTGGTCAATAATTGCCCAAAAAATAACTTCTTGCAGAGAGTGGCTGGGAACTACACCTCAGTACTTTGAAAATGATGGGAGCATCCTTTTCTTCAGTACCAATTGGTATTTTACAGTCTTGTCTTTGTTAAACACCATACCAATTTTTAGGTGCTTGGTAGCAGGTGTGAGACAGCAGCTGATCTTTTCCTGCTTGTTTTTCAGGCATGTTTTAAATTAATCTGCATAAGGCTTATGAATATAAATATATGTATATATATTTGCCTACTGCCACCTATTCTCTTGAAAGCAGTAAGGGGGTTCAGACTCTGGGGCTTTCAGAATCTGGTAGTGGGCATTTGCTTTGGGTTGATGCTGTAGAGCCCCTCACACAGCATGTGGGGCTGTGAGGGATTGCCTCAGTGCCCTGCCTTTCCTTGTGTGCAGTCTGTGGGGCTCAGGACTGATCTTGCCTCCGTGGCTGTCTGCATCCCAGGCAGGTACCTCACTCGCTCTGTAGGGCTGGGGAGTGCTTGGCGCGCTCAGACAGCAATCCCTGTGCCCTGTGGGAGCTAATTCAGGGGCAGAGACACTCCAGGCTGTGAGCTCCCGTTCCTCTCCATGGCCCAGGGGTGGTGCAGCAGCTGCCTGGCACACACGTCAGCCCTGCACATCCCTGGTGCCACGGGAGGCCACGGCAATCCCTGCCTGGGGAGCTGCTGCGCCAGAAACTGGGACTGGCAGCGCGGTACTGAATGCTCCTGCATCTTACCTTGCATCTCAGTCTGCCACCTTTGAACCAAAGGGAAATCAGCTTGTCAGTTTTTGGGGAGAAACTGTTGTTTTAATGCAGCCATTTTTAAGCTTGTTGTTTTGGAAATGACACTTGATTGGACAGTTTCGAATGCCTATTTGAAAGCTTTGCTTTTCTTGTCCTCTTTAACTGGGTGGCATCCACCTATGTTGCTGCTTTGTTTTGGGTCCACTGTAGTCTTACAGGAACAAAATTCTTAATAATAAAAATTGTGACAATGAAACGCTAAGAGCCACGTGTTTGGCCTTAGTTCTTATTTACACAAACAGAATGTAATTTCCTTGCATATTTGTAAAGTGACCAAGTATGACAATTTTTTCTCAGGAAAATTGCCTTCTTGCTGCAAGCTTTATGTTGGCTGAGCTTCCAGACTTCTTTCTCAGTAGTTCTTTTGGAATGAGTTCACAGTTCTCTTTCAGTTCAACAAACCAAATCAATAATGTAAAATTATAGATAAATAAAGTCATTATTTCAAGCAGGGTGCTTCAGTGAAAATTCTTCCTGTGACAGTGCTGGTTTATGGAAATTGCTATGTCTTACAAAATACGGGCTAAGAATTGTTTATTAATCTCAGATAATACACTCTGACTGATAATAAATACTGCAACATTATGTAGATTTCAGTGGGCTTTGCATTGTAAGCAGCATTTCATCCTTTCTGTGGCGTGTTTTACAAACTCATTTTGACATGTAACATCTAACAAAGAGCAGATTTGCCTCTATGTGCCTGACACCACTGATGCTTATTACACAGCAAGAATAGCATCGTATATTCAGAACCAAGTCTCAGATACACTCCAGAAATCTTTATGAAGCCAGGGGAGGAGAAGGCATTAGTCAACCTCTCGAAGCCCAGTAAAACTTTTTTAGGGTCCCTCACAGAGGCAGCATGCTGTTCCCTCAGCCTGGCAACCTTTCCATCCCTAGGCAGAAGTGATGCAGGATGGCCTCAAGAGCCACCTCCATGGCACATACTAAGGCAAACCCTGAACAGAGCATTCATCTTATTTCCTGCACACTTGTATGGTGAAATATAATATTTTGCAGCATGCAGCTCTCCCCTCCTTGAATATGCATAATTTAAGTTCTCCTACTTGCGGAAACTGAGGGCAGAAGCAGGAGGGGCAGAAGGTGATTTTTAGTGGGAAATTTTGACCAGTGTGTTGGTAAAAATCCAAAGGTGCAGAACTTCCTCTTTCTCTCTGGGATACTTTTCTCCTTAGGTGTTGTAAGTGGAGAAAACTCCTTTGATGGAACCATGTTTTCTTTCAAATGTCAAGGAAAAGAGGAACTGTACATATAAACTGATGATGCTTCAGATAGTGTATTGTTTTTCTGGAGTAAGGGAGAGACAGAAGTTTCAGAGAGGAAATCCTGTCTACTTGTAGTTATAGCTGCAGTTAATTCACAGAGATGGGATTTGTCATTTGTATGTGACTGCTCTGACCTTTAACATGAATTCCTCTTTAGGCTGAGCTGGGTGCTTCAGAGTGCTTGTATGAAAATGAGATTAGGGACCCTGTTCTCTTTGGCTACTTTATGTGATTGATACATTGGTGGTAATGTGATCATCTTATTTTATTTTTAACTTATCTGGCATCTGTTACTGCAGTACAGTAAGAGTTAGTTTTGGATACTGCAGAAGCAAAAAGGAGACTCCACAACAGACAGTATAGCCAGCATAGCAATGTACTCTCTTAAATTAGTACATGCTTTTCAAATCTGATTTATTTTTCCTAAATATCTTTTTTTCTCCCTCCTCTTCTTTATAAATCAACTTCTGCGGTTTATTTTTATCCCTTTAGAAGTTTGTATCTTTATTGCCATCAGCCGTTCATTTTCTACATTTTGTTTTAGTTTGTTTTCCTGCTTTGGTCGCAATCATTACTACTGTTGAGCTGTTCATTATAGGGAACTTTCACCTCATTTTTTCCTTCCACTTGCAGACAAAATACTTTGTCCAGAGTCTCCAAAAACCATAAGGGAGGGTGTTTCAGCAGTGTTTGTGTGAACTTTGCTTCCCTCTTCTCTGGTACATCT